TATCTTCTTTCTTTATTTCTTCTTTATTTTTTTAAGCAATATTCTGGTATTGATTTATTCTTCTTTAACTTTTTTTCACATCCACAATGATAAAAACAACCATATCCAAATGATGTAATTGATGATGGAATATTAATTGTTGTTAATGAACATCCAACAAAACAATATTTTCCTATTTCAATTACACTTGTTAGTATTTCAATCGTTGTTAATGAATAACATTCAGAAAAACAACTATCTCCTAATTTAGTAATTGTTGATGGAATGTTAAATTCATTAATATCTTTCTTTTCAATATTCTTTCCATTTATTATTTTTAAATTCTTTGGTATTTCAATACTAATTAACATTGGTTCATTCATAAATATTCTTTCTTCACTTATATATTTTACATCTTCTATATTAATTGATGTTAATGATGAACATTCTTCAAAACAGCTATTTCCTATTTCAATTACACTTGTTGGTATATTAATTGTTGTTAATGATGTACAATATGCAAAACATCCATATCCTATTTCAATAACACTTGTTGGTATATTAATTGATTCTAATGATGAACATTCACTAAAACAACTATCTCCTATTTCATTTACACTTGTTGGTATATTAATTGATTCTAATGATGAACATTCATTAAAACATCCATTTCCTATTTCAATTACACTTGTTGGTATTTCAATTGATTGAATATCATTACATCTATAAAAACAAAAATCTTCAAGTGAATTAACTTCTATTGGTATTGTATTTCCATATGTATTTCTATCTTCTTCTGTATATGCGATATTTTTATATTCATTCATTTCTTCTTTCTCTTTTAAATATCTTGAATAACTCACTTTATACCATATTACATATTTAAATATTTTTCCTTCTTTAAATATTTCATCTTCTTTATTATAAATATGAAATGTTTCAATATTAGGAAACAATTTTCTTGAATATTGATTCAATGGAATTGGATTAAAATGAAATCGTTCCATATTTCCTCTAAATCTTTTAACTCCCATTTCTAAATTAATAAAATCATTAATATCTTTAAAATACTTCGAGACAATCATTATTTCATTATATCCTAATTGCATTCTTTCTTTATTATTTTATTAGTTCTTCTTTTATTTTGAGTTTGAACTAAAATTTATTTTTAAGATAATCGTTCATTTTTTCTTCTTTTTTTATTTTTTAATATAAATTATTAATAACAAATAATTTATACCTCAATAAATTATTATTTATTATTTATTTGATGAAAATGAAAATGAATATCATAGAAATGTATTCATACAAATGATAAATATTCAATTAATAAATATAACAAAAATTTGATAATATGAATAATAAATAAATGAACAATTCAATGAATGTAATGTATTTATTTCTATCTTTCTTTATTTCAATCACTTCAATTTTAGAATTTTCATTTTTTTAATTTATTTTTATTATTTGTTATATAAAACATTATATAATTGAAATTTATTAATATAAATGAATATAATATCATATTTGACTTTAATTGTAAATTTAATACATATAATATTCATATTAATTCATTGTGTATTAAATTAATAACGATATTACATGAAATATATCATTATAATGTTATTTTTCTATTTTATTTTAATTTCATTTGGGAAAGATCCTTTTCCAATGCAGGAAATACAACAAATTTTAATGCCATGGCTATTATGTACTATCAATGTGTATTATAAAGAAAAGCAAACAAGACATAGAAATCCAACTCATACAATAAAAAAAGAAATGTCAATAGCAATAAATGGCATAACAATTATAATAATAAAGGTAAACGATACACCAAGGAAAAAGGGTTTAGAAGACGAAAGACACAAATAAAAACAAATAAAAAACAAGATAAGTACAATAACAATAAAGATTATACAAATAACAAATACAAATGGCTAACAATAAATGAGATACAAGAAAGAATAAAAAGAATAACAAGTGAATGGAAAAAAGGAGGATACGAAGAAATACTTAAAAAATATGAAGGTAAGAGGAAAAGATGGTATGATATCTTCAAGAAGTATATTCAATTAAAAAGAAAAAGATAAATGAAAAAACTAAAGAAGAGTTTAAGAAAAAACAAAAGATTGGGAAGAAAAAGACATTAAGGCTATAGAAGCAGAAATTAAAAACAAAAACCAAATTAAAGAAATGAATGATAGATGTAAAATTGCAAGAATAATAAATAACAAAGAAAGTATAAAGAAAATACAAGAAGAAACAAAAAATAAAGAAGGAAAGATAGAAAAAGAAAAAGAAAAAGAAGAAATACTTGCTCTAAAAAATCAAATTACTGAATTAAAAGAAAAAGTTAAAGAATTCAGCATGGAAAAAATGGAAGAAGAACAAGCCATCTCAGAAGAAATGATGAGAAAAGCAAAAGAAATAGTTAGGAAAGAATTTGAAGAAGAAATTACAGAAATGAAAACACAAATTAAAAAGATTCAAACGAATTATGAAGAAATGAAGAAAGAAAATGAAAAATTAGAAGAAGAAAACTTAAAACTACAAGGAAAAATAAATGAGATAGAAGGAAAGAAAATCACAGAAGTAAATAATAAAGAAGAAAAAATCCGAAGCATCCAAGCTAATAAAAAGAAAATTGAAAAAGAAAATGAAGGAATGAAAGAAGAAATTGAAAAGTTAAAAAAGAGAAACAAAACGCTAGAACAAAATGCAAACACATTAGAGAAGAAAATTGAAATGATAGAGGAAAATACTAAAGAATTAAAGAAAGAAATAAGAGATAAAGAAAAACAAATCTCTGAATATCAAGAAATTGCAATTAAAAACCAATAAATTGCAGAAATAACAAGAGAAGAATTAGACAACACACAAAAAGAAAATGAAGCACAAAAACAAATAATATCAAAACAACAAGATGATATTGAAAATTTTATCTCACAGAAGGAACTAGAGAAGAAGAAAACGATGACACTTGTGATAAATACACAACCAGTATTGAGGAAAACATCATCAGGAACAATGGAGATGAACGAAACTACTCCTATGAAAAAGACAGTAGTGGAAATCGAAGAGAAAAGCAAAGCACTGATTGTCAAAAAACAGGAGATGATAATCAGACAAGAAATACAACAAAACAAAGAAATCAAATTTTAATTGAAGTGATGTATTGTTTTGCAATTAATTGGTTGAATAAGAAATTATATAAGAAATTAAGAAAGAACAAATTGAAAGTATAATAAAAGTAATAAATATCAATGTCAATAATGAAAATGAATATATTAAATATATTAAAATATCACATAAAATAAAAGAAAATACTAAACAATACATTAAAGTGAAAGTAAATGATATAATAGAAGAGTAGAGTGTGATTCAATAATAAAAAACATCATATTAAAGAATAACTCTACAGAAATTGATGAAGAATATCTTAACACTCTCATCAATAAAGTAAAAGAAATGAAAGTAGAAAAATGTTCAAATATTAATTAATACTTTCAAAGAAAAGAAACTGACGAATTAATAAATGAAATTAATAATAGATGGATAATATCAAGAAGCATAATATAGAATCTGCAAGATGATATGAAGAGGATTTCAATGATTATGCACCTCTATCTCCAAAATAAAATAATAGGAGACAAATTTGATGAAATAAAAGAAATCCTAAAGAAAATCAATAGACTAGAAGATATAGTCAATGAAATTGTACAGAATAAAGTGCATCATGAAATTAAAAGAACATGATGAAGAAGGAATAAAAGTTAAAGCACTAGAAAGAATAAAGTACCTAAAATATATGATGAGAATGATCAAAGAAAGAATTAAATTTAATAAAAATGAAATAATCAGAATCAATACAAATAAAATAATGTTTGATTCTAACAAGAAAATTAGAATAAGGAAGAAATAAAAAATGAAATATACCAAATAACGATATTACTTTAGAATATTGGAAATCGTTATATGAAACACAGGTGAAATTAAATAAAGAAAATTGGAAAATAAAACAAATCACCTCGTGGAATGAAAGATATGTCAACTATGATAATGTCATTATAACAATAAATGAATTAAATTTAAGTATAATGAAAATAAATAATTGGAAATCACCAGGAATAGACACTATATATAGGTATTATTTGAAAAGGATGTCATCATCAAGAGAAATCATTCTCAATATCTTTAATGAATGGTTGAAATTCCATGAAAACATCCCATTAGACATGGTAAGTGGAAGAACTTTATTAATCCACAAAGTGATATGAATGATGTCACTAATTATCGTCCTATCAGTTGTACAAATGTAATAATGAAAGTATTTACAACAATATTAAAAGAAAAGATTCACAGAAGACTTAACATGAATAATGAATCATTTAAAACTTGTAAAAATCAACTGGGATGTAAATTACAATCTTTAGCTGCTAAAGAAGGAATAATTAATAGTTATATGATGAAGCAGCAGAAAGAAGAAAAATACCCAAAATATGTGGAGTCATATTATGACATCAAGAAAGCATATGACACAGTCAACCACGAATGGGTAATTGAATCATTAAAATATTTTAATTATGAGTTTGTCATCATTGACATTATTGAAGGTATGATGACTAGATGGAAGATATTCATCGGTTATAAATTTAATGAATATCTAGGATGTATTAAATTAAATAGAGGAATTTTACAAGGTGATTCATTATCAAATCTACTCTTCATCATACAGATGAACGTAATTTCTCAATTCATCGAAGAGAAATTCCCAAAAGTAAATCACACATTATATATGGATGAAATGAGAATAATGACAGAAAGTAGTGAAGTAATTTGAATAATCCACAATGAAATTAAAGAAATAATAAGTTACATATTGATGGAAATGAATGAGAAAAAGTCAGGAATGGTATTAAAAAACATTAAGGAAATACCAAATTGAATGCAAAACATCCCCGTAATTGAAGGTGAGGACTTGTATAAATACTTAGGAATATGGCAGTCCGACGAAATTGATGACACCTTCAATTGTAAAACCATCAAAGAAAAAATGAATCAGAAGATGGAAGAAATAAACAGTGATGAAAGTAGTAATAGAAGATATATTACTAGAATAAACAATGAAGTAATCCCTATCTTCAGATATTCAGCATCAGCTGTAAATTGGAATGTCACTTAGATAAAATTGATTTGGAGATAAGAAAATAAATAAGAGAGGCGAAATACATTGGTGAAACTCCAAAGATAGGTTATATGTCCCTCTAGAAGAAATGGGTGAATGATTAATAAATATAAGGGACGAATATGTTATTGAATTAGTAAGAACAGTGATGTATTATTGTACAAGAGAAAGTGAAATAGGAAATAACATATTAGATAGATGGTACAGTAAGAAATGAATATGGAATAGAATTCAAAAACAATAATTCATAAAATCCCAGAAACAAAAATAGAAGAAATAATAAATGAAATTGTTGAAAAGAAAAAAGAAAAAGAAGTAGTAGTAGAAATAAAGAAATTAATGACAAATACATCAAAAAATGAAGTGTCATCAAATAAAGTGACACTTCAGAAGATGGTTCGAGTCAAAATGAGTAGATAAAACTACTACAGTGAAAGCATGGAAGTCAATCAATATTAAGAAAAATACATTCCTTCAATTAACTAAAATGCAAGATGGAGCAATATTTTGTGGGTATAAAAAAGCAAAAATAATGAAAAATGAAAGATTGAAATACTGCCCACTTTGTAAAGACAAGATAGCAACAGTAGAACACATTCTACTATCTTGCATTGGTCATAATAAATCACAAATGGAAAAACATGACAATATTGGTATTATAATATTGATTAATAAGAAAATACACTGGAAATAAACAATATAAAAAACCTCCATATGAAACAGTGTTCAAATATAAAGATATCACAATGATAATGAACAAACAAATAATGCCTAAAAGTGAATGACAATACCACAAAATACCAGACATATATGTATTAGATAAAAAGAATAAAATTGGTCTATTATTTGATATGACTATTGTGGCTGATCACAATATTAATGGAGCCTATTGGAAGAAAAGAAATAAGTATAAAGAATTAAAGAATAGGCTAATGAAGATAGAGAAATTAAAAGATGTCAGAATAATTCCAGTAATAATCTCAATTAATGGAATAATAAATAACTCAAGTAATAAATTAATTAAAGAAATAAAAATTGAGATCGACATCGAGAAAGAAATTAAAAACCTTGTCATAAAAAACATGATGGATGTCATGGAATACTGCTTCTATCATAATCAAACATACTCCGTAGAGCTGCTAAAAAAGACTCGTTGTGATTACTCTTCCCTAAGCCAGGAACAATAGAAACTAGTTCTATTAACATTTAATTAATTGCTTTTTGTATTTATTTAAATTTTAAATTTATTGAATTATAATTTTGTTATTTTTATTATCTTTTTATATTATTTTTCTATGGTATAATTTGACAATAGTGTGATACATCATATACTACGTAATGAGAAATTTCTATCTTTTTGGGATATATAACATTTCATTGTATTATTGTTTTTAAAATACCATTTTCTATAAATAGATTTTTATTTTTAGAATAAATACAGATATTTTTGATGTATTGTTAGATATTTTGAGATATTCCATTTAAAATGAAAGAATCTTAAATAGTCTGATGTATTTGAAGTATTATATCTTCGTTATTTTCATCTATTTTAGATATTTTTTGAAATAATAAAAGATATTTTATAACTAATACATTTTTTGAATATATTAAATTTGTTACACTTTTTGTAATTTATTGATTTAATTTTTTAAAAAGAAAAAATAAAATATTCATTCAGTTTTAATGTCCTATAGACAAAACAAAAATAATATTTTTAATATTAAAAGAAAAGAGCAGGAACGTCGTCGACAAAGAAGACGACAACAACTGCTTAATGATCGTCGCACCATAGAACCTCGTGTTGGTAGCGATGAACATCGTCGTCAACAAAGACGACGAATTACTATGCGTAAGAAGGATTATGAAAAGATGGAAAAAACAACAACCGTCTTTTCTAATCCATCTGGCTTAGATGGCTATGGAGAGTTAGAAAAAAACAGCAACTAACTCACATAGCAATGCTTTCTTCGAGAACCATAGAGAGGTAGAAAAAAAAGCAACTATATCTCATGGTTCTGCCGGCTTTGAAACGATCGGGGATCGTGTTCGAAATCGTAGAGAAGCCGTGACAAAATCAAGAGAGCCAGAATGGCAAGCTAGTCTTGGAGAAATCCAAGCACCCCCCTCACGAGGCTATAGACTCTCTTGCGAAAGAGAAGGCTAGCGGGGCTATTGGAGAGTACGGGGCTGGAACTATCAGTGCTAGACTTAGTGGTGATAGACCGGTCAGCGGAGCTAGCCCCACTACGCCTTCTTTTTCACCAGATCCCCTTAATGACCCCTCTCAGGACGCCCCTATGAATCCCCCTGAAGAAACCCCCTTTGTCCCCACTAATGACCCACCTAATGATGCCCAAATGATGGAGGAGCCCTTAACTGATGGTGAGGTTGCTGCTCTACTAGAGGAAATAAACCATGAAGAGGAAAATGCTACCTTAGATTTCCTCACTCTAGATAGAGTACCACCTACAGAAAATGAAATACAACTCCTCCAAATAGCAAGAGAAAATACTACTGATGATGAGATTGAATTTACGGTCATCAGAAAAAGAGATTTTGGGCTAGAAAATACTGCGCAAGCATGGCGTGGTATGTTAGGGGAAACCTATAGAATAAGTCGATTAATTAAGGAATATGGCTTAATTCCCCTAGTAGAATTGGTATTTGGTGGAAGGCGGCGACGATTTATTGTTAACTTAGAAAATATCGAACCGCAAGTATTTCTTAATCAGTGTGTGGGGTTTGATGTTGGTATAGAAGAATTTTGGAGGAGTTATGATGATAGAGAAAATGAATTAAATATCCCTCCTGGAAAATTAGTAAATGAAATCATCATAACAATATTGAAACCTCCTCAACGCCAACGAATAGAAGGTGCGTTATTTAATTATTATTTGGTTGAACATTGGGCACCTCTAGAACATATCCTCAAAAAATATCAAATCTATAGTAAAGAGGATATAGTACAAATAGAAAACTGTTTTATTCATTGTTTAGAAAACAGTCATACCTTAACAAAGACTGAAATGGATAAAATCAGAACAAAGTTAAAGGGGAATACTGTGACAAAAAAAACTATGATACATTTTGCAGAAGAATTTAAACTCAACATAATTCTTCGATATTATAATGGAGAAAAAATAGTCACAAATAATATTAAACATGGTGAAAGAACAATTAAAATATTTTTAATACGTTGGAAGAATAATTTTCATTATGTACCTGATGAAAAAGTACCATTAACTACATACTTTATTCATCATTATGAAGAAATAGTAAATTATTGTAATGAAAATGGAAAGGATATAGAAAAATTCTTCAATGTTACTAAAAAAGAAGGGGAAATATATAAACACTCTCTAAATAATTATATTCCAGTATATAAATGTTTAAGTCTATTGAGAGATGCTGGAGCTATTAAAGAAATTGTAAGAAATGATATGATTAAGAAAAAATATTATGACTCTTTTCTATTCTCACCAGAAAATATTTCTTTAACATATGAAGAGTCAAAATTAATTGTAGAAGATAAAAAGAGTGAAACTACTAATACATTATTGTTTGCTGATTTTGAATGTTTCACCTCTGGTGATTATCACAAGCCATATTGTATTATTGTTATGAATGAAGTTGGTGCGTGGAAGAAATTTTATGGTATGAATTGCGCAGAAAGATTTATTGATTATCTTCAAACTATAGAGTCACCCCTTTGTTACTTCCATAACTTAGGATATGATGGAAGATTTTTAGCAAAATATGGAATTATTAATATAGTTAAAAAGGGGAAGATGATATATAAAATGACAATAAAAATAAATGGAAAGAAGATAGTATTTAAAGATACACTTGCTTTAATACCAACAAGCATATCTAATTTTAAAACATTCTTTAAATTAGATGGAAATTATGAAAAAGAAATATTTCCTTATAATTATTATAATGAGGAGACAATGAGAATTGGAGTAATTGAAAATTGTTGGAATAAAGAAACTCCTAGTTGGTCATTAGAAAAAATTGCACAATTTAAAGAGAATTTAATAAAAAATAGGTGTTGTATAAATGAAACCGAATTTAACGCAGAAAAATACTGTGAATATTATTGTTTAAGGAACGTATTAGTGTTAAGAGAAGGATTTTTAAAATATAAGAAGATGATGAAAGAAAATTTAAATTTGGAATGCACCCAATTTTCCACCTTAAGTGCATTATCTTATTATTACTTTAAAAATAACTGCTTTGTAAAAGATTTCTTATTTGAATATACTGGTAATGTAAGAGAGTATATTAAAAAATCAGTTTATGGTGGTAGAAATATGTTAGGTGAAAATAAAAAACATATGGTTAATAAAGAAATAGTAGACTTTGATGCTTGCAGTCTTTATCCATCAGCAGTTGCAAGACTATTTCTTCCTTCTGGAGCACCCCGGGTTATGAAGAAACCAATACAGTGGTATCTGGAACATCTAATGGAGGAACAACAATATGAAACTACACAAGAACGATTTATCTCATATTTTATTGTGACTATAGAGATAACAAAAGTAAATAAAATTAGAAAGATGCCAATTATTATTAAGAAGGTGAATGGAATAAATCAATATGTAAATGAACCAACAATCATGACAGTAGATTCAATTTACTTAGAGGATCTACTTAAATATCAAGAAATTGAATTTAATGTTAAAGAAGGAATTTATTGGGATGGGGGAAAGGCTAGTTTATTCAAAGAAAAGATTAAAGAAATTTATGATATAAGAAAGCAAAAGAAAGCAGAACATGATCCGAGTGAAGTAATATTTAAATTAATAATGAACTCCTGTTATGGCAAAACTATTCAGAAGCCAATCATGGAAGAAAATAAACTATTTAGGACAAAAAGAAAAATGCTTTCTTATTGGAAAAGAAATTTAGAAGATATTATAACAGGAGAGCAATTATATGACTCTGATATTTGGATATTAAATGTTAAGAAACAAATAGATGATTTTTATATCCCCAACATTATTGGTGTTCTTATTCTCTCCATGTCCAAGAGAATAATGAATGAATTAATTTATCTATGTGAAGATAATAACATATATGTTTATTATCAGGATACTGATAGTATTCATATAAAGAAAAGGATCTACCAAGACTTGAGAAGGAGTTTAAAGAAAAGTATGGTAGAGACTTAGTTGGTTCTGAACTAGGTCAGTTCCACTTAGACTTCCCCCTGTTAAAGGAAAACCATCCTGGTCAATTAAGTCCATCTTTCTGGGTAAGAAGTTTTACCTTGATGTTCTCACCAATGAAGATGGTGATATAGATTATTTAATTAGAATGAAAGGAATCCCCAAGGATGTGATTATTGGGGTTGCCAATGAAAAATTTGAAGGGGATGTAGTTGCTCTGTATGAGTATCTTTATATGGGTAAACCACTCACCATTGACTTAGCTAAGTATGGATCCCATTTTGAAATAGAGCGTGATTTTAAAGTAAAAAGTCTGAGTGAATTTAAAAGAACAATTAAATTTTAAAAAATGAAGCTCTCAATTAAGTCTAATTGATTCTTTTTCTTATTATTGTGTTAGTTTTTCTTGTTCATAAGGTGATAGTGCTGATAAATTCTTTTTATTTAAAAGAACATCATTATAAAGTGTTTTTCCATAATCTTTAATAACATCTTTTATTTTCTTTCCTTCACTAATTTCTGTGAGTGCTTTTCCATTTGTTTCATACCATTTTGGTATTCTTTCTAATAATTTTCCTATTGTTTCACCACCTGGAAGAAATGATGCTATTCCTTTTGAAATAGGAATTAATTTAGTTGTTATATTACCTGTTGTTTTATATAACTTCCCTCCTATTCCTGTTATTTTCTTTCCTGCTGTCTTAATTATATTCTTTAACTTTTTGATAAATCCAAATTTCATAACAATTAATTAAGAATAAAGAGTTAATTATTTATAGATAATCTTCAATATCATAATCTTCATAATCTTCTTCATTATTCATTTCACTTTCATTACCATTGAGTCTTTTAGCAAATAAAGCAGATTTAGGTGATACTCCTGTTCTTCCTTTAGGTTTTAATGAAATATGTTCAGGTACTTGATTAATAATTTTACTTGCTGTTTTAGTAATATCATTTGGTATTTCATTTTTAACTTGATTTAAATATCTTTTAGTTGCTCCAACAACATTTTCACCTGATGCTATTCTATTTAATACTTCACTTGTAGGTTCTGCTATTTTACTAATTACTTCTGTACCTTTTTTAATTATTTCACCACCTGGAATAAAATCTGATGCTATAGAAATAAGTGGTTTTGCTTTTTCAATTACATTCCCACCAAATTTCGCACCAGAAGCTAATAGTGCTGCAACTTTCTTTAATCCTTCTTTAAATCTCTTCCAATTACCGAACTTCATGAATGAAATAAAAGATTGAACTAAGAAATCAAAATAAACAAGATGAACTATAACGTTATTAAAGCATTAGATCAAGAAGAAACAGGTGATCTTATCAAATACTTCAATTATACAGATGGAATACTTGAAGCTAATTCAGGTGTTCATGATAATAAATGTTTATCAATAGATTCATCTGATCCACCATGTCCTGTACAAAAAGGAATGTATACTAAAGTAAAATTGACAGATGAATCAATTCAAATTACAAATATAGATAAATCATCTATTACTGCATTAGTTAGAATTCAAATTAAACCAACTGAACAATTTTGGACACAAATAAAAGATAGTCAAGAAGGAGATATTTCAGGATTTCAAACAGGAAGATTAACAGCAATAGAATATTTTGTAGGATTAAAATCATCAACACATTTATTTGATGCATATCGTGTATATTCAAGAAATAAGAAAACAGCATGTGAACAAACAGAAGCATTATATGAGAATGTAGCTATTAGAATGTTAAAAGCACAAGAAGAATTAGATTATAAACCAGGAATTTATACACAATGGGAAGCAGCATATAAACATGAAGATAATGTATGTGGATGTTATTTTAATCTTCAAGAAATTATTAAAGCACCAAATAATACTATTGAAAAAGAATTTGAAGTAATTATTCCATTAGATGATTTATTACCATTTGCTGCTATGAAAATGTTTCCTAATGGAATTTTTGGAAATTTAACACTTGAAGTTAAAATGGCAATTCAACAGAATTTTGTTATTTGTCAATGTAATCAAAATACTATTATAAATAAAATTAGTAAACAAATCAATTCCCCAGTTAAAGGAAATTCATTAGTACTTAGTATTGGAATTGATCAAATGAAAGAAAGAGATTATTATGGAGTATTAAATAGTAAACATGAGAATTGTTCATTTACACAAATTGGAGATACATTTATTACATCAATGATGTCATTACAAAAAGATAGTAATCATGAATTAGGTGTTCTCACTCCAAAAAATATTAAAAGTTGTTTTACTATTACAGATGGAAGTTTAAGATATTGTAGAACAAATATTAATGGATTTAATATTAAAGATAGTGTAATGAATGAATTAATAGAAAAATATCAAACAAAAGAATTAATTATTCCATCACAATATGTTGATTATCAAGCATTTTCACAAAAACCATTAAGTAATGGTTTAAAATGTAATACTACTTATGCTATGACTAATGTAAGTTCTTTAATGTTTTTATTCCCTAGAACTTCAAATGAAGTAACATGTAGTAGAAATCCTTTATTTGCTTCTTTACAAATGCAAATTGATAATAAACCTTATCCTGATAAACCTTTCTCTACTGTTGAAAAATCTCATACTATTTATAATATTACTAATGCTGGCTTAGATAATTTATTCTCCCCTTCAAAAGAATTTGCTTATTCATTAGAATGTAATGAACTTGATCCTTCATTTGTTAATAATTATAATCCTGAAATTCAATATGCACTTCCACTTAAAGATAATACTTCATATTGTTTCTTATGTAGTACAGAAAGATTAAGTGGTTATGGAACATTTTGTGATGGAATTACTAAGGATAATGCACATGTAACACTTACTGCTACTTTATTACCATTTAAACAACTTCATCCCTATTTGAAAAATCCATGGACAGAAGATATAAATGATAGATGTCCAATTATGCTTGTATGTCAAGATTGTTTCTGGAGATGTACTGTTCAAGGAGGATGTGAATATATTTGTAATAACAAATATTTTGTTAAAGAAAAAACAGGAACAGATTAAAATTAAAATTAATTCAATTCTTTATAATATTTTAGATAATTAGCAGAATATGTTTCAAGATATAAATTATTCATATCATACCGTATCTCTGGTTTTAATGGATGAGTGCTCATTCTTTTAGTTATTATTTTATCATTAACACCAAGAAAAATTAGATAAATTGATGAACGTGATAAACGAGAGTTTCTTGTTAACCATTTAGAAAATAGTTCTGATGCTAATGCTTTTGGTGTTAATAATTCATTTGTTCTCATTATTCCTTCTATTTGTTCTTCTTCTTCATATTTTATTATATATTTAGTAATTATTTTATTTGCTTGTTCTTTTAATATTTTGATTTCTTGAGTATTTAATAAATCATCTGTTTCTTCTGGATCCCAGAATGTATCAATTACTTCAATTGGTTGTCTTTCAATAAGTATTATTCTTTTATTTTGTTTCTTTTCTATTTGTTCTTCATAATCATTTAAATATTCTTTAAGTATTTCAATGAGATGTTTCTTTTTATTTGAATTTTCTTTACTTGTTGTTTGTAGTACTTTATTTATTTCATCCCATCGGACATGTTCTTCTATTATTCCTACTTCATCTGGATTAAAGTATTTTGCTAATGCTTTTATTATTGTTGTTTTACCTGTCCCAATTCCTCCACTAATGATTATTTTATTTTCCATACTGTATTTTTAAATGAAATTAAAAAGATCAAAAATTATTCATTTACCTGTTGATCCAAATCCTTTCTCTCCTCTTATTGTTTCACTTATTTCTTTCACTTCTTCAATTTTACATTGTTTTATTTTTTCAATAATAAGTTGTGCAACTCTATCTCCTTTCTTGCATCTATATATAGTATTTGAATGATTAAATACTATTACTTTTATTTCTCCTCTATAATCTTCATCAATAACTCCTCCTCCAATATCAATTCCATATTTAATTGCTAATGATGAACCTGGTGCAACTCTACCATAACAGAAATGTGGAATTTGTACAGCAATTCCTGTAGAAATTAAACATCTATCATGTGGATAAATAATATTATCATCAATGCTATATAAATCAAAACCTACTGATTGTTCTGTTCCTCTTGTAGGAATAATTGCATCTTTATGTAATTTTTTAATAAATAATGTTTCTTCATTATTTTCTTTAGAAGTAAAATGTTCATTTAAATAATGTTTATAAAGAGTATTAATTTGATTAACATAATAAAAATTCATTTCTGAAATAACTCCTCTATTTCTTTTTATAATTCTTTTCTTTTGATTTTCTTCATTAGCATATAAAAATACATGAAATGTTTCATTTTCTATATTTTCTCTTTTTATCCATTCTGTAAAGATATTTCTTGCTATAATATTTGGAGTTGCATAATCAGTTGAAATACAATATGTATTATATTTATTATATTCTAATTGGTATTCTTTTTCTATTAAATATATTTTATTCGTAATTTCTTCTCTTTCTTTTTCTGTCATTGTTTTATCTATTTCACAAAATACTTCAATTGCTTCACGAGGATGTCGTTCAATAATTATTACTTTTTTATTTTTATTATTTTTTAATTGTTCTTCATAACATTGAAGAATAAATTTTTGTAATGTGTAATTTCTTTCTATTCCATTCCCTACATCTGATATTAACATTTTTCCAATTCTAGGTGAATAATCAATATATTCTTCTATTATTCCTACATTCTCTTTATTAAAATATTCAATTAATGCTTGTATTGTTGTTGTTTTTCCAACTCCTATACTTCCACTTATAACAATTGCACCGCTATACTTGTTCATCAAATATGAATGAAAGTAATCAGATGGAGTACATTAAATACTAATTAAATTGAGGTTTTATCCTATATATTAACAAAAACTCATAATAAATGAAGAATAACTCAGTTATATTTAAATAAAATTGTTCATCTCTTTATTTCTTCATCATTCCAAACATCAAATGGTGTTTTCGAATCAATATAATAAATAAAACTTTGATTTGGTGATGATTGAACTATATCTACTGCATTTTTATATGTAAGTGTTCCATCAATATAATTTAATACATATACTCCAACAGTACTAACATATTCTTTAGTAGTGAATATCATATATCCATTACTATAATATTCACCATAATCTTCTAATTTTTTAATAGTAGATGAATTTCCTGAATCAATTCTATTTGAATTAAAGTAAATTTTTGTTTTCTTTGGTGGATCTGTATCAGTATTTATCATAAACATAAATTGAAAGATATACATTTTATGATCCGTACTTGTATTTTTAAAAGTTTTTGATGAATCAGTTCCCCATGACATTAATGTTGATAAAGGAAATGTGTATGTAATATTCTTCAAATCTTTAATTCCAATTGTGTTAATTATATCTGCTTGTTTAATTGTTGTATTTCTTGATATTTCTGTGTTAATATAAGACGTTAAAGATGTCATTTTTAATAATGCTTCTTCATTAGAATAAAATGGTGAGTATAATGAAGTATTAACAAGAGATGATAAAGATATTAATTGAGTTGTTAAATTATTAATTTCATTCATATTTGTTGTATTTAATGTTGATAATTGCGATACATCATCTCGAATATCATTAATATATGTATTTGTTTCTTTCATTTTCTCTTTCATTTCATCTATTTCTTCATTTGTTGTTATATTCTTAACATTAATTGTTGTTATTCCATCTGTTGTTTTAATTGTATCAAGATAAAATGTGTTGTTGTTGAAATAACGTGTTGTTAAAATATTATTTTTATTTAAATATTTTGAACCAATTGCTTCCATTTAATAATGTAAATTAAGTTCTAAGATAAAATATTCATCCCAAAGTCCAACTGGGAAAATACTCTTTCCTTTATAATCTTTAAACCATATTTCTATTCTTGTTATATTTTTATTAATATTGAAATGTTTTGGTGTCATATTTCCATATGTTGAAAAACATATCATTTGATCATTTTCTGGTGAATCATAATTAAATGAAGCATGACAACTAACTCCAATATCTAATTGCCCATTCAAATTAAAATATACAAAATTCATTACTTCTATTGTTTTAGGATAATTTTCTGATGTAATAAATTCCCATGGTAAATTTATTATCCATTTATATGTTTTAAAATCTGCGATTGCATTTTCTCTTGTTATAGTGAAATATCGTTGACAATATAAATGTGTCATATTGATC